TTTTTTCCTGTTTTGAACATTTCTCCTTAAGGCTCAGGGTCAAGATAAGGAGGCAAATGTAGACAAAAACCTAGGCTGATGTTTAAGAAGGCCCACTTTGGGCCAGCAGATGGTGTAATGGTTACATTGCTGGACTCCCCCATGGCTGACCATGGTTCAAGTCCTGGACCAGGGAACCAGAAACTCACCCAGGGCACGTGTGCGTGTGTGCCCAAAGTCCTGACAGAATGGAGAAGAAGGGATTGTTAGCATGGCCATCCCCCCCGGGGGTACGATTTCTTGCTTTCTGTTTCTCTGTCTCTCTCTCACTGGCAAACACATGTGCCCTACAGAAAAAAAAAAACTAAAAAAGAAACAGGCGGCCCACTAGAGCTAAATCTTGACTTTGCTGTGTTCTGGATGTGGAGTCAGGACTGTGACCCAGGGAGGGGGGCAGTGTCTCTGTACTACGTGAGACTGGAGGGCGTTAGAGTAGGTGTACGGATGGAGTCGCGGGGACTGTGGCTGATAAGGCAGGGCAGGGAGGGGACCGATGGACCAGAGATGCTGCACCTGGCTTGCAGCCCCCGGGGGTGTGGCCTAGCGCTCTGGAGCCGGGGTGGACTCAGACAGTAGGGCTCCGTGCGGCTGGCAGAACCAGTGAGCTAGCTGGTGGGCGGGGACACGACACCCTGTGGCACTCCAGGGGCTCCAGACCCGAGATGTGGAAGCAGAAACCGCTATGCTGCCTGGAAGCCCCTGGCAGGTAAGTTAGAAAAAGAGACATGGGGGGGGTTCGACCCACCTCGGGCACTTTGTCACTAATTCCAACACTCCTCTCTATAAAGCTCACACACGGGAGGGGAGGGGTTACCATCCTGTCCCACACCGTACCCGGAGAGGAACCCCGGCACAGTTCAGCCCTGCCTACTCGGTGGGTAAAAGTCATGGCAGTTAATCCACGTCCAGAGAGGGCCCAGCATGGTCATGGAAACATCACCCCTCCATGCCTGCCCACGACAGGTGCGAGGGACCGTGCGAGGAATCAGGCTTGGATAGAGGCAGGGTATCCAGCATCCAAGATGACTGACAGGACACAGAGGCTGGGCAACAAGGGCTATTGTCCCTCCTAGTGTCACCGAGAGGATCAGATCCAACTGAGTGAGAATCTAGCCGCGAAGCTGGGGATATGAGCTCTGGAAATTTGGGGAAATCCACACGAACTTGCATGTGAACCTCCACCCCCAGTGTCGTTTTAACTAAGACGCACTCCACGGCAAATTCTCAATGGCATCAGTGACAGATCTGGGGTGGGAGGAGAGGGGGACCAACGTCCTGTCCCCTGAAGGATTCTCCATCTGCTCCACAGCCGACACCACAAGTTAGTGCATTGTTTTCCAAATAGTAACGTTTTCTGAACCGTGTAACGATAATGGCCCGTTATGGGCCAAAACACAACCTCTGGCTGACCTGGATAAAGCTGCAAATCAAGTCTGCTGGTGGCTTGCTCAGTGCAGACCGTCAGGGTGCAGCTCCCAGGACCCTGCGTCCCAGTGCACTGTGTCCCCAGCACCTGCTCAGTCCTCAGGATGTTTGAGTCTGAGCCCCCACAAAGCTGGCCCTGACTCAGGACGCGGTGCAGGATGCTGGGAAGCCCAGCAGAGGAGGAAGGGGCAGGGAGGGGTGCAGAGCAGGGGGAGGAGAAAATGCAGTGAGACCCGCACCACAACCACTCCTGATGGAGGCCCCCAGGAGCCGCGGAGAGCCTGGGGCTCGCCTTCCAGCAAACTGGAGCCTGTGGAGACCCCCAGACCAAGAGGAGCACTGCCCTCCAGGAGGAAGGACAGCAGTACCGAGAACCTCAGGGGAGCCCTGGGGGCCAGGGCTCGGCTTGGGCCACTGTGTCTGCGTGGTGGTTGGAGGGCTGGTGATGCATGGGCTCTGGGCCGGCCTTGCCGCGTGTGGAGGGAAGAACAGTGACCCCAAAGAAGGGCAGGAAGCTCAGAGCGTGCAAGGGGCAGCTGCTTCCTGAGGCTCCTTCACCTCTCCCACCCCACCGTGCGTCCCCCATGAAGAGTTCATTAGCCAATGGGCAAGCAAGGGTCAATGCAGAGGACTAAGTAAACTTGCTCACCTTATGAAAGAACCCAGCATGAAGACCTCAAGGTAAGCTTGACAACAGGGGAAACAGACCTCCTGGGCCCTCCTGGGGGCGAGGGGGACAATCTCTACCCCTGAAAGATGCCGGGCATCCTGAGAAATGACCAGCCCCCTGTCTGGACTGGCGTTCCGGCGTTGCAGAGTTTAACCTTTTCCTCGCCACACAATCGAGACCATAAAAGGAGACTCTCCAGAGGCGGGAACCTGCCAACCTGCTCAGCCCAGGCCCCGGGTATTCTTGCCCGGTCTCTCCCAGGGATTCTTCGCCTGAGCATTAATAAATGCAAGTTCTGCTCCTTGCTCTGTCTCAGGGAAATTCTCTTGCTGCCCATGCACAGGCCCTACTGCCCCACTGCACTGCTGCACCCCAACTTTGCCTAAACTGTGTGGGTTTGCTAGAACCTGCACCCAAACTGTCCTTACTGAAGTGGAAATGACAGCCCAGCTTCCCGGAGACAAAGGCGACCCTCCTGTGCCGGCTTCTGAGCTTGAGTTGTCAAGTCCAAGACACGCAGAGGGGTGCTTTCTGTGGGTTGCTGACAGGACCTAGGAAACGGTGACCAGTTCCAGCTGCTGATGGGACAATCACCCCCGTCCAGTACTCTGGCTTTTACTTGCATGTGGTTACTCAGTGAGTACCGAGCAGCGCTCATCCCAGACACCTGCCAGGCGGCACGACCACGAGAGGACGACGGTGGCTTTTCAGGACTCCAGGGTGAGTAGAGCGTGAGCAGTCAACAACAGGAAAGTCGTTTTCTCTGGGGTGGCTCTTAGAATCCCCTCCCCACACCTCCGCCCCCAGCAGAAAATAGCTGATACAAAACTGTGAGCCCCAGAATCAGCTCGGACAAGTCCCTTTCACGGAATAATTTATTTCATTTCAAGTGACAGTGGCCCACGACTCTGCCTCCTCGATGGGACCAGGAGACTCAGTGCAGGGGGGCTGGGACCCTCCCTGGGCAGAGAATGCCAAACGGCACTGCTTCCTCCCAAGGCCTCGGACGGACGTGGCCGCGTGCACGGCCCAGCCTTTTCTTCAGAAATGGTCTGGAAGGGCCACCGCCTTCGTATGTCGAGGTTCTCGTGAGCCCAACCAAGGGTCCCCGGCCTCCCAGTTGACACTCCTGCCCCACATGATCCCGGGTCATGTGGCACTTGAGGAGGTGCTAGGGGGTGGGCACACAGAGAGAGCATTCCCGGGAGGTCCTTTCCCTGCCCCTGCGAGGATGCAGTGGCTTTCTCTGCCCACGTGGGACTAGCAGGAGCCCAGAGGAGGATCCACGGGGTGACGTCTCGCGTGCTTCACTGAGGAAGGTGGCTTCTAGTCCTTAGGGCATGGGGTCTTGGAGGCCTGGCACAGGCGAGCTGCAGCCGCGGGGTTCATGGAGAAGCCGGCTATGGCCTTCCCTCCGTCCCCCACCTCCCATCCCCAGGTCTCGTCATTGACCCATTTTGTAGCGGCACCCACCGATTTCTCTCACAAATCTACCCTCGGAGTTGATTCTGTGCAGGTTTTCCTTGGATCCCAAAGCTGGGGAGGACAGGCGAGAGGGGGCGGAAAGGGGCATGGCTGTGCACTTGTGCCCGCGGCTTCCCCGGGGTGGGCAGGTGCCGGTGAGCAGAACGGGAACACGGCGCAGGCAGCTGCCTGAGATCCTAAGGCCTGACGGTGCCATTGCAGTAAGAAAGGAAGACTGAAGACGCCCCTAACCTACACAGGGAACCCCGTAGCTGAGGCAAAGTCCCCGAGCAGGCGCGGCGGCAGTGGAGCTGGGATTGTCGATGGCAAGGCTTCATTTGGTGTTAGTTTTCTAGAAGAGCTAGGTTTGTAGCCACATAACTCCGAGAGACACTGTCCCAGGAAAAAGAAAATGTGTCTTTGTCACATCCACCGCCGTGCATTAGGCCGCCCGAAATGGCCAAGCGCGCCGCCGTTCCGTCTGGAAGGCTGGTCTGTTCCACCCAGGACGTTTCGGCAGGGCTGCTGGTTTACCCGGATGGCAAAGGCCGAGATCTGCCCCGGGCCGATGGTCCCGGCGTGGGGCGGGCACGTGGGCTGGCGGCTCCCAGGCCTCAGTGGTAGTAGATGCTGAAGGCATGGAGGATGTACAGCAGGGTTGTGATGAAGGCGAAGAACTGGAAGAACCAGGGGATTTATTGTGTTAGAGACGGCCGCCAGGTCTCCGTCCCCACCCAGGGCCTCGGCCCCCACAGCCCAGGAGGCCGTGTGCTCTGACCCCGCTTCGTGTCCCCTGACTGGCCTGCGAGCAGAACACCACTGGCCACCTACCCTGTCCTCCTGGGGTCTCTCCACCCGAGGCCATCACAAGGGGCAACTGTGCCTGGTGTCCCCTCCCACCGTGCAGTCTCCATCCCACCTGCAGATGAGGCCTCCTCCACCCGCCATAAGGTGAGCTGGCCTCCATGCCCACCCTGGGCCTCAGTTCACGCTGTCCTCCTGCCCCGCCCACTTTTGTCCTCTGATGACACCCCCATGCCGCTCACCATCGCAGAACGCTGCCCTGAGCCCCTGTAGCCTGGCTCCTTGTGAGCGTCTCAGAGGCCCCTCAAGCTCCCAATGGCCAAATGGAACTCCCGACCTGGCCTCACAAGCCCCACAGGCTCGGTCGGCCCCAGGATGCTCGTTCCATCCAGCCACCCCGGCCAGAAACCTGTGACCCCTCCCAGTCCTCCTTCCCCCAGCGGCCATGTCCGAAGCCCTCTCCAAAGTCTACTGGTGTTATTGCTTGACTGTCTGCGGGCACATCCAGGTCTTCCTCGTCTCAGCCACCACCTTCCCTCACCAGGACTTCTGGCCTTTAACCTGTCCACTTCTGCCCCCTCTGCTCCAAGACAAAAACGTGACTGTTGCTCCTACGCTTAAACCTTTGTGATGGCTCCCGTCTCAGGACAGAGCTCATCACCCTAAACCGCCTTCCAGCTCTGGCCGACTGCTCCAGTCTCGCTCTGCCCTACTGTCCACGCACATGCTGTTCCCATTCGTTCACTCATTCACTCACCCACTCAGCAAATAACTTCCATTTATTTGTCTGTTTGTTTGTTTTTAGGGAGATTTTTGCTATAGGGCACATGCACTTGCCAGAGAGAGACAGAGAGACAGAAAGCGAGAAGTACCCCCTGGGAGGATGGCCAGGCTGCAATTCCTTCTCCTCCATTCTCCTTTTGAGATCTTGGGCAAGCACGTACAAGTGCCTGGCATGAGTTTTAAGCTGCCAGGTCTGGGACGCAAACTGCGGTTGACTACGTGGGAGTCCAGCGAGCAAAGAACTTTTAAAGATCTGCTATACTTCAAGAATGACCGTGGCTTGGGGACCAGCAGTTAGCGTAATGTTTATGTTGCTGGACTCCCATGTAGTCGACTGCGGTTCGCGTCCCTGACCTGGTGGCTTAAAACTCACTCCGCGTGCGTGTGCGTGCGTGCCCAAGATCCCGAGAGGAGAATGGAGGAGAA